CCCCGTTCACCATCCCCAGCCCCACACTGTCCCTACTTTTTTATTTTTTATACATTTGTGGTTTTTTTTAAATTTTAACCATAATATAAAAATTCAAAGGCTAGTTTCATTGCTCTTATAAGACAGCCTTTTAAAGCCTTACAGAGTATTCTAAAATGTAGCATTCTTCCCTGTAGGGTTATTAATTGTATCTTAATATGATTTTTATGTTATTTTTTTAAAAAAAAAACTTTTTCTTAATTGTTTATTAATGTTACATTATATTTTCTCTTATCTCTTGGAAATAAGATGTTGTCCAAAATAAAATGCATTTTTTAGCACTTGTTATTTGTAAAAATATATTCACTGTGTCTCTTCAAGTAGTCTTTGCAGGTTTTGTGGTATGCATAATTTAAGGTACATTTAGTAAGTTTAAGGGTTAAAATATCCTGCACTGTCTCATATGGCAGTGAGCAAAATCACAGATGCTGATGATACCACATAATTAGTATTCTTTTATGTAAATGAAGGCTGTCAGCATGTTACCATAGTGTCTGCTCTCTTTGATGCCGGAATTTATGCCACTTGTTCTCACCAAGACCAGGCAGGATTATTCCACTGTCCTTAGTTAAAAACTGAAAAGAAATTAATACAATGAGAGAGAAAATATTGGCATCTCCTTAAAGTAGATAGATTCTCTTTAGTTATTTTTTCCCCCTATTTTACTTTTGTTTATCCCTCCCCCCAGAAATTTTATTTCCGGTGATGCAGAAATGCATTTAGGATGAGCTAAGAAATTTCCTATCCTACCTAATAAAAGAGTAATATGCAAATTAACCATCACTCCACTCAAGCCATGCCCGCCAGCCAATCAGAGTGAGTATGCAAATTAAACCCAACAAAGATGGCTGAAGCCACAAAGAGCAGTTGAGAGGCTTGGGTTTCTCCGGCAATAGAGGAAGCCAAGCTTTCCACCTGCCCTGGCTGGCCTAGGCCTCCGCTCAAGGCTGCAAAGTTTCAATTATAGAAGATACATGAACCCCAACAGAAATGGCGGGGAGCAGGGGACTTGGCTCCGCTCCAGGCTACAAAGTTTCAATTGTAGAAGATAAATAAATTTCAGATACCAGGGCCTCTGCTTGGGTTGCTGGGGGCAGGGGAGTAAGGGGGGGCGTGGCCTGCCTGCAAACCACCACAGGCCCCTTGCCCAGGCCACCCCACACTTCAAGGGAACCCCCACCCTGATCTAGGATACCCTTCAGGGCAAACCAGCTGGCCCCCACTCATGCACCAGGCCTCTAGCCTATTTAATAAAAGAGTAATATGCAGATTGACCATCACTGCAACACACAAGATGGCTGCCCCCATGTGGTCAAAGATCCTGCCCCTATGTGGACACAAGATGGCCAGCAGGGGAGGGCAGTTGGGAGGCACCAGGCCTGCAAGGGAGGGCAGTTGAGAGGCGATCAGCCCTGCAGGGGAGGGCAGTTAGGAGTGGCCAGGCTGGCAGAGGAGGGAAGTTAGGGGCAAACAGGCTGGCAGAGGAGCAGTTAGGCATCAATCAAACTGGCATGGGAGTAGTTAGGGAGTTATCAGGCTGGCAGGCAGAAGCAGTTAGGGGCAATCAGGAAGGCAGGCAGGCGAACATTAGGGAGCCAGCAGTCCTGATTGTGAGGGATGTCCAACTGCCTGTTTAGACCTGATCCCAGATTGGAGAAGGTGCAGGCTGAGCTGAGGAACACCCCTCCCACCCCATGCACGAATTTTGTGCACTGGGCCTCAAGTTTGAGAATAATTGGAATAGTTCAATTAAAAGATGTATCATATTTTCAAGCTATCGATTTTTGAATGATTATAGTGTTCAGTCATCTCATAATAACGTGATAAATCTAGAAGTTTCTTATCAGAACAAAGGAAGAATTGAAAAGATTTCATTATCTTCTTTTAATTTATTATCTTAGAGATAATAACTATAGTATGATACTTTTGTTTTTTTAAAATACACTTTATTGATTTTTTTTATAGAGAGGAAGGGAGAGGGGTAGAGAGAAACATGGATGAGAGAAACATCAATCAGCTCTCTCCTATACACCCTGCACTGGAGATGTGCCCACAAGCAAGGTACATGCCCTTGACCGGAACTGAATCTGGGACCTTTCAGTCCACAGGCCTATTCTCTATCCACTGAGCCAAACGGGTTAGGGCTGATACTTTTTTTTTTTTATATATATTTTTATTGATTTTGTACAGAGTAGAAGGGAGAGAGATAGAGTTAGAAACATCAATGAGAGAGAGTCATCAATCAGCTGCCTCTTGCACACCCCCTACTGGGGATATGCCCGCAACCAAGGTACATGCCCTTGACGGGACTCGAATCCGGGATCTTTCAGTCCCCAAGCCAACGTTCTATACATTGAGCCAAACCGGTTTTGGCAGGGCTGATACTTTTAAATGATCATAGTTTTTAGCTCCAGTTGGTTCCAATTTTTAAAATAAAACTGTGGTAATTAAGGGAACAAAATTCATATTTTATCAGGTTTACTTTATGTGCAGACAGATCCAAGGTGTGCAAGACATTTATTTAAAGTTTCTGACCTACCTAATGCCCGAGAACAGTTAAAAACACATCATATTCTATCCCAGTTACACTGAAGTTTATCTCCTTTGGGTTTTGGGTGCCTGTCACACTGGAAAAGGTGTACATGTCAGAAGAATGTCCTTCATGCCTGTGGGTGTTAGGCCTTGTTCTTAAATAAAGTGGAACATTTTGTCTTTCTTGGACTTAGTATACCTGAGATACTGTGTTCTGTTTATTTATTTGGTGTGTAGATTAAGGTGGCTTCTTTTTTGTGTGTCACTTTTGGGTGATTTCCATTTCATGTTCAGATGTTTTCCTCTAGAGAAGCTAGTCTGCCCCGCTGAAATCAGTGAGGTGAGGTGCAGAGTGCCCCTGTGTTCTTCTGAACGGATTTACTCTGCCATATGGCAGGTCAGTAAGTCCCCATGACAGATTTGTAATGGGAAAAGGGCTGTGCAGGAAAGGATGTGCGTGACCAGCAGATTTATAGATCAGAAAATGAAATCAGAAGGAAGAGTTTCCAGAGTGCCCTTTCCATTTGATGGCTCTCAATGGAGAGAGTATGGAATTTTACTGTTTTTCTACTTTGGCTTTTAGTTATTCCAGCATATTTTTTTCTAACACAGGAGTTGATTTCACAAGGCCTCCGTGTTCTGATGTTGTGTTGCTGTGATTCCCATTCACAGAAGTAGTCTGTAGGATTTGAAGTTGTGCTGTGTTTCATGTGATCTCAGGGGCAATTAAATTCCTAAAGACACATAGACCATCCTATTGGCTAAAATGGGGACTTTGCCAAGTTTTGAGTTGCAAGAAGCTATTCAGATATGATTCAGTAATGAATCTTTCACAGGAAAGAAAACAAAAAGAAAAGCTGAATGAGCTAAAGATATGTCCTGGCATATTCAAGTCTGTGCTATTTAACATGGCACTTATTAGCTACATGTGGCTTTTAAAATTTAAATTAATTAAAAGTAAATTAAAAAAGTTAAAAGTAAAAAGTAAATAAAAAAAAGTTAAAAGTTCAACCCCTCAGTCTCACTAGCTGCATTTCAAGTGCTCAGTGGGCAGATCAGTACAGTATTGGACAGTGCAGCTAAAGAACATTTCCACTTCACAACAAGTTCTTTTGGGCAGTGCTGGCCTAACGAAGATTTTGAGAAAAACAATTCTTTGATTTCTATGAGGAGTTCTTCATTCCTATACCATTTATTAGATTTAGTGCAGCTGTTTTAAGGTTTTAATGTCCAAATGAGTCATCTGTAGACCCTGCTTAAAATGCAGGTTTTAGACCCCTCCACAGACTCTTTTTAAAAAAAAATATATTTTATTGATTTTTTACAGAGAGGAAGGGAGAGAGAGAGAGAGAGCCAGAAACGTCGATGAGAGAGAATCATTGATCAGCTGCCTCCTGCACACCCCCTACTGGGAATGTGCCTGCAACCCAGGTATATGCCTTTGACCGGAATCAAACCTGGGACCTTCAGTTCACAGGCTGACACTCTATCCACTGAGCCAACCGGTTTTGACCCTCCACAGACTCTTGATTCATCAGATTTGGAGTCATCACCAGAAATCTGTACACAGAAGTACCCTAGGGAATTCTGATGCTCAGAGGTGGTTTAGGAACTTACATCGATTGGTTGCCTCCTGCAGCAGGCGAGGAGCCTGAAATCAAAGCTGGGAATTCAACCGGCGACCCTTTGGTCTGCAGGCCGGTGCTCTATCCATCCACTGAGACAAAACGGCTAGAGCTGTTTCTTTCTTCATACAACCAGAATCTTAATTAGTATTCCCTCCAGGACCTCATCATTTTAGAAATGGTTTAGAAAACAAGTTTCTTTCCCTAGTTGACCAGTTGGGTGCAATGTGAAATAAGGTAATGACTTTCCTAGGGAACACAAAATCAGCCTCACATAAAAATTAGTTGATACCCAAGAATTAAAACAGGCTTAGAAAATTTAAAGTTTCAAATTGGTGTGAGGCCCTTCCCCCCATATTTTATAATTCTTCATTTTCAGGGGACTTAACTGTCTTTCTGTAATTCTCATTCCATGTTAAATTTGCTTTACTTTTTAAAAAGCTTACTTCCAAAGGAACCAATATTTTAAAAAATATATATTTCATTGATTTTTTACAGAGAGGAAGGGAGATAGAGAGCTAAAAACATCGATCAGCTGCCTCCTGCACACTCCCCACTGGGTATGTGCCTGCAACCAAAGTACATGCCCTTGACCGGAATCGAACCTGGGGCCCTCGAGTCTGCAGGCCGATACTCTATCCAATGAGTCGTACCAGCCAGGGCACAAAGGAACCAATTTTGAATAGAAAACTAATAAACATTGAGTTGAAAATGCCAGTTGCAAGCCTTTTTCTAGGAAAATACTTTGCTGAAAGCTTTTGTTTCTCTCTGCCTCTCTCTCTTTTGGGGGTCCTGCTGTGCCAGGTTGGAAGAGTGGAGCCTTCTGTAAGACATGGATAGATGCAAACATGTAGGGCGGTTGCGGCTGGCCCAGGACCACTCCATCCTGAACCCTCAGAAGTGGTGCTGCAGGGAGTGCGCCACCACAGAGTCCGTGTGGGCTTGTCTCAAGTGCTCGCACGTGGCCTGCGGTCGCTACATTGAGGACCACGCCCTTAAGCACTTTGAAGAGACCGGACACCCGCTAGCCATGGAGGTCCGGGATCTCTATGTGTTCTGTTACCTGTGCAAGGACTACGTGCTCAATGATAACCCCGAGGGGGACCTGAAGCTGCTGAGAAGCGCTCTCCTGGCGGTCAGGGGCCAGAAGCAGGACCTGCTGGGGAGGCGAGGTCGGACTCTGCGCTCCATGGCCTCTGGCGAGGACACGTCCCCGCCGCCACGCACTCCTCAGGGACAGCCGCAGATGCTCAGGGCTCTCTGGCACCGGCGCCAGCGCCTGCTGGCCAAGACGCTGCGGCTCTGGTTTGAGAAGAGCTCCCGCGGCCAGGCAAGATTGGAGGAGCAGCGGCGGGAGGAGGCCCTGGAGCGCAAGAGGGAGGCAGCGAGGCAGCGGCGGCTGGAGGTCAAGCGGCAGCTGCTGGAGGAGCTGGCTAGCGCCCCTCCGCGCAAGAGCGCCCGCCTGCTGCTGCACGCACCCCGCGCCTCTGCCCAGCGCCCCGCCGCCCGCAGGCGCACACCCACCGGGGGCCGCCTCCCGCGCCGGACACCAGCCGTGGCTCCGGGCGTCACTGGCCTGCGCAACCTGGGCAACACGTGCTACATGAACTCCATCCTGCAGGTGCTCAGCCACCTCCAGAAGTTCCGAGAGTGTTTCTTGAACCTCGACCCTTCCGAAACGGAGCAGCTCTTGAACAGAGCCACCGGCAGGAAGGACCCACTCTTGGGCAGGCTGGCCAGCAGCTCAGCCACCGAGCTGTCGCCAAGGAGCCACAGGGCTGAGTCTTGCCAGCGGGATGGTCTCTTCTGGAATGGCGGCGCCTCCATCACCAAGAGCCTAGAACTCATCCAGAACAAGGAGCCCGGCTCAAAGCACATCTCCCTCTGCCATGAACTGCACACTCTTTTCCGAGTCATGTGGTCCGGGAAGTGGGCCCTGGTGTCACCCTTCGCCATGCTTCACTCCGTATGGAGTCTGATCCCTGCCTTCCGAGGCTATGACCAGCAGGACGCTCAGGAGTTCCTCTGTGAGCTATTGCACAAGGTGCAGCAGGAACTCGAGTCGGAGGGCACAGCGCGCCGGATCCTCATCCCCTTCTCCCAGAGGAAGCTCACCAAGCAGGTGCTAAAGGTGGTGAACACCATATTCCACGGGCAGCTACTCAGTCAGGTAGGTGTGTGTCCGTCCTAACCCCAGCTCTGCCCATTGGAGGGAGCTTGGATGTTAGTGCTTGGGCTTTCCATTAGTGCCTCCTGTAGGCTGTTGGGTTAATGGGGTAACCAACATAGCTATAATTATCCCTGATGGAGGGCAGCCATCGTACCTTTCACTGTACTGTACACCGTGATGGCCTTGTTGGTGAACTTCCCTCCTGCCTCTTTCTGGGAAGATTTTCAGTGTAACTTGCTGTATCGCTTCATTTTCAATTAATGTCTTTACCCTTTAATGACGATATGGATAACGTAATATTCTCTGTATAATTAAGTACCCATGGTTGGCATGACATCTTTAATCAGTTTTAGGAAACTGAACGGTTTGCCTGTAACCCTGGTTCCATGATATTTTGAAAGAGTGTGTATTCTTACTAACGACATTCTTTACACACATGGAAGGGGATTAGTTAGGAGGATGCCAAAGGCCTAAACAAGCCGCCCTCCTGTTCCCCATTACCTTTCCATTACTGAATCTTTAGCCATGTACAGACAGAAGCAGTGACTCCTAGATTTGTGAGAATATGCAGAAAGAGAATTTTATAAAGTTAAAAAGGTGGGCAACTTAAGAGATTCAAGTAAAACCTCTATACTTGCTACTGTGGTATGTGTCTTGGCATTTAGGGTTTTAAAAGAATGATGTGTACTAAGGGAAGAGAAAGTTTATTTAAGTTTTTAGCATTTGAAAGGGGAGTACTTACGGGCATTTACTTTATCCCTTGAAGGTCCAAGAATCAGGACAAAGGTACATCTGGGAAGGTTATAAAGGTGCATCTGAGGAGGTCTAATCACAAAGTACTTTGAGGCTCTGTGGTCACGGATCAGTGTAGGGGTGCTGCAAGAACCAGGGGCAACGAGAGAGGCAAGTTAGGATTGCATGGAAGGAGCAAAGTCTGGAAGAGGAAGGAGGGTGAAGATAAAAAGCAGACAGGAATCTGCAAATTCTCCATCTCAGACTGATTCCCCGATGACTTGCAGTTTGTACCACAGCACTGAGTCTGGTAGAGCCTGCTTTAGATGAGGAGAGAGAAAGGTGTAGGTAATAACCTCTGTGCCAGATGGCTTTCCAGTTCCAGATAGCATCACATAGTTAGAAATATATACAGAAGTAGCATGCTCTAACTCTCTTAAAGTTATATTTAATATTTAATATTACAAATAAAATATTTTTATAAGGTTTTTTGTTTTTGTTTTTGTTTTTTACTGGCTCACTTCATTGCTGCTTTGTATGTGCTCCACGTGAGTGACATAGGTGCTTATGTAGGTGGGTTCCAACTTAGGGCAAAAATCGCGTTACATCGCACTGTAGGAATGAGTCTCCAACATAACCCGAGGGCCTACTGTACTTAGTTTTGATCAAGTATGTGTCTCGAATAAAGCAAGCAAAAACGTATTTGGGAAGAATGGAGTTATATACCTGTAAGTTATTTTTTTTCATTCTAGGTCACATGTATATCATGCAGTTACAAATCCAACACCATTGAGCCCTTTTGGGATCTGTCCCTGGAATTCCCTGAACGCTATCACTGCATAGAAAAGGGCTTTGTCCCTTTGAATCAGTCAGAGTGCCTGCTCACCGAGATGCTGGCCAAGTTCACAGAGACAGAGGCCCTGGAAGGGAGAGTCTACGCTTGTGACCAGTGTAACAGTGAGTGCGGGGGTTGGAGGGGAGAGTGGGGTGTATGACTGGAATATCAGTTTAAGGTGCTTTCTTTGCCCCCTTAGTCAGAAGTAACACTGGCTGATGATATTGAGTGGTTCTAAAGCATGTTTTAAAGATTTTTTCTTCTTCCCATTTTACTGAAAATAAGCATATGGACATTAAAAAATAAAACCGTTCTGGCTGATATGGCTCAATTGGTTGGGCATGATCCTGTGCACCAAAAAGTTGCCAGTTCGATTTCCAGTCAGGGCACATGCCTAGGTTGCAGGCTCGATCCCTGGTAGGATGTGTGCAGAAGGCAGTTGATTGATGTGTCACTCTCATATCAATGTTTCTCTCTCGCCCCCCCTTCTCCCTTCTTCTCTCTCTAAAAATCAATAAAAATATTTTTAAACAAATCTAGGAGTGGTGCCTCCTTTGACTTCTGCTGATTGACATTAGCTGTTATTTTGGGAGGCATTTGAACATGAAATGGGGACTCTAAGAATGTGAATACTTCTTATAGTGATTCATAAGCCTTTTACTGTAGAGCTCCTCATGAAATTCATGATTACTGAGTCTGACAGGTCTTATTTAAGTTCAGATGGCATAGCCTGTTGGAGAGCTGTGGCATCAGAAAAGTTACCTTTGTATTGAATGTGTAGATTTAAAGTGTTAGGAGTGATGCTGCAGGTCTGCACAGTAAAATCAAGAAAGCAAATCATAAGGTGCATTGCTCTCTGGAAGTACATTCTACACTTGTTTCTTTGTATGCTTGAAAGGTTGGCATTTTGGAGGCTGTCAAGAGGAAGTATTTATCATGACATTAATTTAAAATGTTTAATTTTTTTAATCCTCGCCCAAGGATATGTTTCATTGATTGATAGATATGTAGGTAGGTAGGTAGGTAGGTAGATAGATAGATAGATAGATAGATAGATAGATAGATATGGGGGAGGGAGAGAAGGAAGGTGGGGGAGAAAGGGGGGAAAGGAGGCCATCAGTATGAGAAACATTGATTGCCTCCTATATGCTCCTGACCAAGGATCAAACCTGCAACTATTTTGATGTATGGGACCATGCTCCAATCAGCAGAGCCACCCAGGCATGGCTTGTGGCTTTAATTTAAAAGTGGAACTCACCCTCTCCAGTTTGGCTCTGGATAGAGAGTTGGCCTGCGGACCAAAGGGTCCCAGGTTTGATTCCAATCAAGGGCATGTACCTTGATTGCAGGCTCCTCTCCTGCCCGGGCCCTGTTCAGGGCTTGTGCACAAGGCAACCAATTGATGGGTTTCTCTCACATCGATGTTTCTCTCTGTCTCTCCCCCTCTCTTTGACTCTCCCTAAAAATCAATGGAAAAATATCCTCAGGTGAGGATTAACAACAACAAAAAGTGGAACCTTTTCCATGTGGTTACGTGGGCATGTTATGCAGGGCCCCTTCTGTCTTGCCACACTAAAGCTCAATACTCTGTTAACTCAGCATATACAGAGGAAATGCAGAGCAGATGTTTAAAAGCTCAAGTTTGGGTTTTTTGCATATAAGGATTTGGAAACTAAAATTAATGGATTGTGCAGAGATGTAGAAATCAACTTGCAGCCAAATAATACAAGTTTTGTGAACAAAAACCTTAATATATTATTTGCATATGTTTTTTTAAAATAGTAAATTGTGGGTAACCTGTTCTCTATAAAGAATTAGGACAAAAATAAAAAGTAATACTTGATGCTATTTTGCTACTTTAAAATAAAAATTGAAATGCTGAACTTAGATAACTGCAGACTTACTTGACCTGTTCCCCATTATATATATTAGAGTAGTATCTGTTTTGTTTTTTAATAGTGATTCATAAGCCTTTTACTTGTAAGGATATTAATAGCTTTAATTTCATCATTTCTGACATGATAGAAAAGGCAAGAAATACTTTTATTTATTTTTGCAAGAAAGGGTTGTTTTTCTGGTTTCCAGATGTTCCAGTTTACCAGGATTTCTCTAGGCAAGTTAAAGTAATAGCAGGGAAGGAAAACTGTGGTAAAGGGATGAAATGAATTTATCTTTTGCTTGTGAATTTTCAAAACTATCAGCTTTCTACCTCTCTATGTGGCCAGCTTAATCAAATAGAGACAGAACTGGTCAATCTCAATTGAATCAGTAATTTTTTTTTCTTTGTGAATTTCATTTTAGGGAACAAAGCCAGGTCCTATATGGTTTTCATCTTAGCTCACACACTCCCTCTGCTGACAGTGGCAGTCACTGCCATGGTTCCCAGGCAGAGCTGCAATAATTTTTAAAAATCTGCTGTGAAAGGGAATGTAAAATAAGGCCAGGCCCTGCTCTGAATTCTCTTTCTGTTCATGCCCCCACATATCATGACCGCCAACCCTACTAAATGCGATGGCACACTCACCCTGCAGCAGTCTGTTAGAGAAGCAACAGCTCCGCATTATACTGTCACAGAGAGCTCCATGATACGTCACCTGCTTGTGATTTGCTTCCTATCACGAGTGGTCTAGAGAGGACTTGGAATCAGATCCCAAACACTTCAGACACTGAGACCTTGATACCAACAGCTCAGAGACAATCAGCAAGCAACACACGTGGACCCTAATTTCACATTCCCATCCATTCACCCATTTAATTAATAGCAGAGCAGTCATCGGTGAATGGTTATAAGAAGGCTTCCAAAGAACATTAAGAGAACTTTATTTCCATTGTTTATTTGCTGTAACTAAAAAATGCATATCCTAAAATTCAGTGGCTTTAGAAACAAAATTGAAATCTGAACACTGATTCTGCTTTGGACTGGGTGAATTTGTGCAGCACGTCCAGCACTGTGCTTTTATCCAAGAAACATGTTTAAGGAACTAGGTACAGCATAGAAATATAAAACCAAAAAACATTATTTTCTAAATATTTGTATATGTCACAAGCTTATCATGCTAGAGGGGGAAAATCTGTTTAAATACTTTGCCCTTTAGTAATACTGTATCCTCTTACGTTTTTTCTAAGCCTGAAATATACATGCAGCATTCCCCATTTTACAGGAGAGCAAACTGAGATTCAGAATTTGAATAACATGTCCAATAGCATACAACTAGCTGTGAACAGAAAATAGAATTAGGCCTTTCTGATGAAAACAAAAAGTCTATAAGTTTATATTATGGTACATCATAATTTAAGTTATAAGCACATATTTACTAGTGAAAGCATAGAACCCTAACATGTGCCTCTGTGCATATGATATTATATTCCATTAATAAGCCCATGCCATCAGGAGTGTACCATCCTAAACCCATACCAATTTTGGAAATTGCTGATGGCAAACATTTGAAAGTGGAAGTAATCAGGATTAGGTTTAGTTGCTGTTAAGTCAGCTCAAATAACAATAACTTAAAATAAGAAGTGATTTTTTTTGTTTGTTATATAATGAAGTCCAAAGGGTCTTCAGGGGCTTGCATGGTTATTGGGACCCAAGTTTCCTCCATCTTTCAGCTTTACTACCTTAGTTCAGAACTTCATCCTTAAAATTACCTCATAGTCCAAGGGCAATTATTTACAACAGTTGTAAACAGTGGGAAGGACAAAGGATGCACCTTACAGCTGAGTCAGCCTTCTTTAAGCTGCCATCCCAACAGTGTCACACAATCATTCCCTTTATCTGGGCTAGTACTCCCATGGACACTGCATGCAGACATGTAATGTCCTACGGAGACATTACATGTAAATGTCCTACAGAGTCCTACAGAGGGCCATAGAGCTGCCCCAAATAAAATTGAGGTTAAATACTAAGAAATAAGAAGAATGCATATTGAGTGGCAAGTCATTGTCTGCCATGGCTAGGAGAGAATGAGATTCCTCATAGTCTGTCTTATACCTTCCCAAACCATTTAGGCAAACGACGAAAATCCAACCCCAAACCCCTTGTTCTGAGTGAAGCTAGGAAGCAGTTAATGATCTACAGACTACCTCAGGTCCTCCGGCTGCACCTTAAAAGATTCAGGTGAGCTTGTTCTCGGGCATCCCACGTGGCTGTGAACCATAGGAACAGCAGCTTCAAAGGCACACGGTGGGGGCAAATGTCTTTGCTGTTGGGAGGGGACGGAGGTTCCTCGGGGACCTTGTGCTTTCCGTGGAGATTAAATGAGTCGTGCCCAGTGAGACAAGATGTTGGGCCCAGCAGGACTGGGTTTCTGCCCTCATGGCCCTTTTTATTGGCTAGCCTGCACCGGTGTCTGTGCTTGAAGGTTTTTTAGCCTCGCTTTGGCTTATGTAGAGTCATCTTCAGAATAAAGTATGAGAGTATCTGTGAAAAGAGCAGGCAGTAAACTACAAAAGATTACTGCCTGAATTGCTAATGAGGGATCTGTAGTTTCAGAGTACCTTGTGGAACATTCACCAGAAGTGTATGTGGACATTAATTACTACCATCTTATTAATGTGAAAACCAAAGCTGAAGGTTCCGTTTTCTCAGTTCCTAGTTCTACCTACCTCTATCTATGATCACATATGCCACCTTTTACTGATAAGAAGTTTATATCTATGTTCTAGGTGGTCTGGCCGTAATCATCGAGAGAAGATTGGGGTCCATGTCGTCTTTGACCAGGTATTAACCATGGAACCTTACTGCTGCAGGGACATGCTCTCCTCTCTTGACAAAGAGACCTTTGCCTATGATCTCTCCGCAGTGGTCATGCATCACGGGAAAGGGTTTGGCTCAGGACACTACACAGCCTATTGCTACAACACAGAGGGAGGTGCGTGCGCTTTACTCTGTAGGGTGGGGGACACTGAAAAGGGTGGTTTGTCCACATCTCATTGCTTTCCTTTTCATCTCTAGTGGGATATTACATACATTTAAATCCAGATGAAAGAATTATGGAAGTTTAATTCAAATTTTTGATAAATCACTAAATAACAACATGAGATTATTTTTAAAATTAACAAGAACTGACACATGTAAAAAGTGCTTACTAGCACGGTGCCTAGCACATTATGCTCCATGTTAGAGGTTATCATTATTATTAATACTTCTGCTGCAGACCTGTTTTCTTTTTGGTTATGCAGAAATTATATGACCCAGCTAGCCTCATGGAGGTATTGCATGAATCTCACTAGCCTCGACTTCTAATAAAGTTGAGGGCACTTTCTTAGCATTCACTCTATCTTTACTCCATCCCTTACCATGGGAGGTGTGGGGGGACAAGGGTCCCTCCCAAGAAGTTTTCAGTCCTTGTCCCGAGAGCAGAGCCTCTCATCTACTGCGCTGGGGCAGGTGCGCTGCGAGGTCTCTTCAGTGTACTGATCGTGAACCCTCAGCCTTTGGGCAGCCAGAGGGAGCCTATGGACAAAAAACTTTTATTCCTTCTAACTGTTCCTTTAGCATTCCTCTCTATTTCCATGCCCCCTTTCATCCTCCTCCTTTCCCCGTCTTTGCCCTCAGTCTCTTGGCTGTCTTTGTGGAAGGCCCTAATGGGGAATGAAAACATTTGAATAAAATAAGGATAAAAATTCCAGTCGGGTGATATTGTAAGCAGTAATGTGGTGGGGTTTGGTGGGGTTTGGTGGGGTTAAAGCTAGTGGTTACAGGGAAGCCTCTTGGTTTCATTTACGTGTCTCCCCTGCACTCCACAGCACCACCACCAGTAGTCAAGGGTTGGCTCTATTCACACTTCTCTGTCCCTTTCTTCATCTCCTGGTTTTGCCTGCTGATTAGAAATATAAGTGGGCCATCATTTACGCTTTCTTTCCTTTGGTTTCCTAGGTTTTTGGGTGCACTGCAATGACTCAAGGCTGAATGTATGCAATGTCGAGGAAGTGTGCAAAACTCAAGCCTACATCCTTTTTTACACTCAAAGGACAGTTCAGGGCAATGCAAAACTCTCTGAAACCCATCTCCAAGCTCAGGTGCAGCCCAGCAACCATAATGAGGGCAGGCCACGGACCTTCCCCTGAATGGAGGCACATCACAGACTGGCTTGCTCTTAAACTGTTGGTGTCCATTCATCTTTCCTGATAGGAAATGAGGTTTACTGCAGGAACAAGTTACTGGGTTTGCCTTACTGGGTCTAGAGCAGAGGTACCAGGTGACTCATGCTATCATAAAATATGTAGTCACTTTGTTTTGAATGGATTTGGAAAGTCCCTCCTCTGATAAAACAAATCAAAAGTCATAACTCGTATGAAGTTTCATCAGTTACTTCTGAATATAGAGGGATCTGGGTAGAGCAAAGAGGGAGTAAGCTGATCATATCCAGATGGGAGAGCAGCCATGTTTTTCCATTATGTGATTCCCCTGCTAATCAGGGCCTCCTTGCAGCACCAGAAGAATCCTCCTGATGTAAGCAGCTCAGGACAAAGCACATGAGGGGGTGGGGGCCTGGGCTGGCAGCTTTCCTGATGGGATTAGTTCTGAGGCAGCAGGTGAAGTCTAAGGAGTTGTTCCTACAAAGGAAGTAATCTTCAGGGGTTGAAAACTCGCAGACTTACTTAGGGGGGAGGAGAGGATAGTTAAAGAGTGGAATGAGATGCATGGAGCAAATTTCCCCATGCAAAATGGAAGATTTGTCATGTGTCATACCTTCCCTGGGGCTTCGGAGACCAGCGTGAACATTCCTTCGTTCTAAAGGAAAGGTTCATACAGGGAAGCAGTTAACTGACATGTTCTTCGTAGCCTAAGGATACTCAGTTCGGTAGCGAATCCCTGGTTCTAGGGTTTAGTTTAAATTGGTCTTTATTGAGGTCAATGGTCTGAGGCTTTCTCAGAACTCAGTTGAGGGTGGGTGGGAATAGCCGGTGGCCCGGGGCTTATCTGAATGCCCGTCACCTGATCTCACCTGGTGCAGCATGAGCTTTTCTTAGCTCACAGCTTCTTGCTCCTGGAGGGTTTGGGGAGCTTTTGCTTTCCAAGGGCTTAGGGAAGCTGTCCCCATATGTCTGAACAGTTTACTGCTGGTGGCTCTGGCTTGTTACCTCCCAAATCTGATCAGCCACAGAGTCCACCAGAGAAAGCAAGAGTGCCCTGTCCTCTACTCCAGTGCTAGCAAAACAGACCTTTCTGCCCGGGGCCAGTCTCTAAGTGGAATGAAGTAGCCCAGAGGGAGACCTTCCTCCTCCTCGGGCACCGCTGAACTTCCCTTCTTAATCCTTCACTTAAGACTCAAGTGAACGCAAACTGCAACTCTTGTTCTGGGGTTGCTGTAGATGCCTCAGCTTGCCATGTGAATGCTCATCTTTTGACTGAGTATGTCATATAAACTTTTCAGTTCAGGTAGAAGTACAGTTGTCACTTGAAGGGAGTAAGATATGGAGGGGAGTTCAGGAAGGGATGGGGAGTTGAGAAAAGAGAGGGTAACAAACAAGGGTCGTAGCTTTAGTGCTATTGACAAGCCACATTCTGGAGCAGATCTGGAGCACTTGATTTTTCCCTCTTTGGAGATTAACTCTCCCCTGGGACCTGCCAGACAGCACTGACACATGGAGGACATTCAGGAAGAAAATGGCTCACCCTGATAAGAAAGGGAGAGTTCCTATATTTTAAATTACACTTGCTTTTTCCAACACTGTGAGGTTTCTGTAATATTTAGCTTTTATTTGGAAGCAATAGCGTATGGCATTTTTTATGCTGTTTGGCTTATATTGTCTGCTATAGGCTCCTTTGTATGAGCTTGGCCTGGGCCCACGTCCTGGACACTGTTTTAAAGTGTCACAGCTGCGTATGCTGCCAGAGGCTCTGATGGGAAGCTATCCTCTCCAGATCCACATTTTAAGTCGGAATGACTGGTGATGACTTTTTGTGGCAACAGAAAAGCCCATTAACTAAAAACAATCGGGAGAGAAAAAAAAAGGGGGGGAAATGTAAATTGTGCCTCATCTCTCATTGAATGCTATATTTATTATTCTAGAAAAAGATAACTTACAAATGGAGAAGCATAGAGCATCTACTTCATCCCTCAGGCTGTCCAGGGGGAAATATTTGAGGGGGGAAAAAAATGAACATTTAATGGAAAATTAAAAAGATTTTCAAATTTAACTTTTAGAAATAGTTTTATACCAAATATTATAAGGCATATTAAGTAGATTAAAACTGTAAAAAGGGCTTACGTTAGTTGAACACCCCTTTATCAAATTAACAAAATTGTTCAAAATGAGTTGGAATAGACACCATATCAGAATCCTCACTAGGCTGCACACTCGTGGAGGTGCCCCTGCAGTCACACACTCCTCAGGTACCCAGAGGCAGCAACACTAGATGCTGTTGATCAGTTAGTATTTATGAAGGTTTTTATTAAAGAAAAGTTCCCTGCTGCAGAAATCAACGGTTGTTGTGAGGGAATTGTCCCTTTGCTTTTAATTTAATTGCATATTGGAAGTAGATGAATTTCTTAGTTGCATCTTACTTTACATTGAAACATTCTAAAAGAAAATAAGAACCAGGTAGAAGTTGACTAGATGCTGCCAAATCAAACCCAACATTTCTTAACTGAGCCGTCCGGACCTGCTTCTCTCCCAGATAAGTAGTTAGCATCCTGCTCCAAGAGCCCTTAGCAGTTGGCTGGTGTGTTTACTTCCGTTGTAGCCAGCCAAGATGAATGCACCCTGCCCTCAGAAAGGGTTTTTACCTCAGTTTAGCTTGACCTTCATACTTGTGGTTGCCTCGGAGATGAGCATTCATACTAGCGGGAAGATTAGGAATGCCCTCAACAGCTAGAATCTGAAGCTCTTATTAAATGGTGGGCAGAGCTCTTGGCAGCTTTGATCCAGCCCCTCTTAGACTGAGGGGGGCAGTGCCACACCATAAAGAATTTCCAGATGTCTCTTTACATGTTATGAATAAAATTGGAAACTGTAGAAGTGTTAATGTGTCCTATGGACTCAATAGCAGAGTTTATTTTTGTTTGTAATGACAAGGCTTCTAGTGAGTGAGCGTCTGAGTTCCCTTCTCTGGCTTACAGCTCTGTCCTATTGCAAGAACTAATGGGGTGGGATGGCTGGCAGTGGGGCATGGCCCTAGAGGCCCCAGCATAAGCCTGAGAGAGGTCGACAGTAGTGCAGAAGGAAAATTTGGTCGGGTGTGGAGGGAGGGATGTGGGTGGGCAGGCAGGGAAGGAGAATGGAGTTTGTTTTCTTACTGATAAAGCTTTGTGAATTAATTTTATATAATTCATAAAATTTGGTGCCTTGTACCCAATTATGGTTTGCATGGGATTGAAAAGATTAAGGGAAAGGAATCCTTCTTGTCAAGTGGCATATTGGTCTGTATAGTGTAAAGGACATTTGGTATCAGACTTTTTAAAAGTGTTTCATGTCTCATGTGTGGAAAGCAAATTGTTCTTACCAGCAAAATCTGAAATTTTATGTAATGTCCAAAATATTTGTGATTACTCATGAAATGTCTGCTTTTCAAGGCAGACTATGTATCCCATTCTTTTTCGCCACCCCTTTTATGTTCAAAACATTTACTCAAGCCCGTTCAGTCAGGCTGGGAAGGCCACCCCTTCTTAACCATATACTATTCCCCGGTCTCAGTTATATCTTATGAGCGGAAGGTTGCTTTCCCAGCTGGTTGGGAGAGCACAAATGCTGAGAAAAGGCTTTTGTTTTTCTAATGCTGGACAACTTATAGTAAGAGTCAAACAAAAATGGCTCCCTTGAAGTACTACCTTCATTAATTCTAAATTTCTTTTGCAGAAAATTTCAGAAAGCAGTGTAGAACACAGTCCCTGTATGTGAACCTTTGACTTAGATTGTAAGGCAAGCCCGTGCACTGTGTAGTTTGCTAGAGAGAAGGCTCAAAGAACTGCCACAGTCCCCTTTGCCAGCAGGTGCCGACCGGAATGGTGCTGCGTGGCTGTGGAAGGTGAGAACCCCGTCTGCTCACCTCCAGCTGTTTGCAGCATTTCCTTTTACTCTGCCCTAAGGCTGCCACTGAGCTCATGAGACTTCACCAAAGGACGTTTAAAGAGCTCACCCCTGACAGCACATTTCATACCTGGGTCTCTCCGCGTAACTGCTGGCTTAATTAGGTGAGGAGGTTCTATATTTGGAGTACAACCTCCCACTGCCACTTAATTTTTTACCAGGTAACTGGATCCCCTGGAGGCTCAGATTCTTTCAAGTCAGCACTACTGCCGACAGCGCCTTCCAAATATGACTGAGTTTACTTATATCTTTCACATTTAAGTTAACCATTCTCTTGGTCTAAGACTTTGACTTTAACCACTGTGTACTCTTTCAATCTACACATTGCCCTAAGTACACCATAGCTACTATAGCATTGAGGTGAATGGTCATTTTTGTAGACCCTCTCCATACTTATTTTACTGGCAAGTTTCCATTTAAAATCTTAAGTAGGCAGTGTAAGGAGATTTTCATAGTACCGTGTTATTAGCCAGGGCTGAAAACTAACAGGATATAAAACTGATTTCCTTTGGGGAGAATGCTATCTGTTGGAATGGTGGAAGCAGCACTTTCATTCATAGAATGATTACTCACCACGATTTCTGAAATTGTAAATTTGGTAGCTTTATTTGCTAATCTCATCACTTTGAGGAATTGAGTCAGTTTAAATCAAACTTTATCTTACCAGCATACGGCTTTACAAACCACCCAAAAGTGAATATTACTTGAAGCTGAAACATTTTTAAAAATAAGTTTAATTACAATTGACATACAATATAAAACATTAAATTGAGTGAAATTTCAGTGCTTTTGAAAGCTACCATATTTTAATTTTACTGAGTTTTGATTTTTAAAAAATATATTTTATTGATTTTTTACAGAGGAAGAGAGAGAATTAGAAACATTGATGAGAAATATCAATCAGCTGCCTCCTGCACACCCCCTACTGGGGATGTGCCCGCAACCAAGGTACATGCCCTTGACTGGAATCAAACCTGGGACCTTTCAGTTAGCAGGCCGACGCTCTATCCGCTGAGCCAAACCAGTTAGGGCGGGTTTTGATTTTTCTTTTAAATTGATTTCAGAGAAAGGAAGGGGGAGAGATAGAAACATCAATGATGAGAATTATTTATCTGCTGCCTCCTGCATGCCCCCTACAATGGGGATTGAGCCCGAAAACTGGGCATGTGCCCTGATCGGGAATCAAACTGACCTCCTAACTCAACCACTGAGCCACACCAGCCTGGCTGGGTTTTGATTTTTATTTTTGAAAGCATTTATGAAATAGCACTGTTCACAATTATGGGATCTGATAGCAGACTTCAAGGATGTAAGTTTCACTGTTAAAAAGTACAAGGTGCTCATACTGGTCTTAACAGTGGCCTGACGGGTGGAAAGGGCTTAGACCTTTGCTGTGGCATCAGTTTCCTTCCTGGTCACCATTTTGGGGTTGACGGCTTCAAACTTAAGTCTTGCTCTCATATATGTGACCCTTCCCCATCTTAACACCTGGTAAGATACAAATCTATCAAATCCTTTGTGGTCCCACTGTAGACTCTTAGAGGTTCATGGTTTCATGTTAAGCCAGCCACAGCCCTGAATTCACTGGCTCAAACTCTCTCCTTTTAACAAATGGGACCTATAAATTAATACAAGGATATAGTGCTTTTTAAAAGAAGATATATTTAAAAATCTAATTCTCAAAACAGCTTTCTTAATGAGATTTATGCCAGCAGGGTCAAGAGGAATATCTGTCAACCATAGTAAGTAGACTACTGTGGTACATTTACACTGACCCTCCTTTCCCATTCACTTCCCTTATCCCATACCAGTTCCATTAAGAGACTTGCACAGAAAGCAGTATTTTTTAAATGCCTAGAAGAGTAAATCAAGGGGAACACGTCACTATCTCCACATCTCTCCTGCATGAGCCTTTCCAGGCCAGTTCATTACATTTCCCATTTCCAAAGAACTCCAAACTCTTGGACAGCGACAGAAGTTCCAGTGTCACAAAACATCTATTTTCTCGTGAAGGAAGCTGTTTTCTCAGACATGCTCACTTCAGTGCCCACAGCTCAGGCTTACTTAACACCTAGCCTCCACCTGCCGATCACTGCCTTTCTACCAATAAAGCCCACTCCCTTACAATGCCTCTCTGGTGCCTGGAAAACCCACTGGAGCATCAACATGCTATGCAACACCGAAAGGATTCTTCTCCCAGATGGAAATTCCTCAGTAAGCTTCACGCTACGTTGACATCAATGAATGGTGGCTACAGTTTCCATTTCTTTTTTTCTTTTAATATGAAGCAAGCCGCCTCTGCCACAACTATGTTTGGGCTTGTTCCTATCTCATGTGTGAAATATAAATTATGTTTTTATGATTTTTGTAAATCAACTTTTTACACCTTGTTTTTGTAAGCTGAAATTTTTTATTAAAAGAACAAAAAATGGCTGTATTTGAGTGCAGTCTTTATTTCAGATCACTGTTAAAATACCATCAGGTTATTCCTCAAGAAAGAGCAAAGATCACTCTCTACAGAAACTTAGGAATTATGTACAGAACTTTACAAAACAGGACAACATGTTAGCTGAAGCCTGACTGCTGACCAGAGTGGATTCTGAGTACTCTCCGCAGGAAAGTGGGCAGGGAAGGGAAGGCAGCCATCTGTATCAAACCTCAGCTGCCATTAGGGAGAGTCTTGTGATGGTCACAGATCAGAGGCTCGTGTCTGGAAGTTCAAGTACATCTTGGGTTCCATCTGTCTGCAATCAGACAACACAACAGTAGGTGTCATGTAAAAGCACTGCAGGGAAATGGGTAGACTCAAATTCCTTCTAACATGGAAACATGTAACTGTGAAGCTACCTAAGGTTTTACATCAAGTCTCTCTCCTATATTTTGTGAATAGTTGATAAAATTATTGCTCCTCCCTGCCTCTAGGACTCTTAAGACACACAAGACAGTTGTTACCTGCTTACCCATTTGGCTACATCCCTGGCTGAGGTGCCATTAAGTCAATGTCACTCAAATTCCTGGCCAGCCAAACTCCTGCAGCGAAAAGTCCCAAATTGAGTATCAAGTTCCTGGAAAAAGAATTATTCTATTAACCTTGTGGTCAGAGTCACTTATCGTTGGTTAACCAAAGATACTGGGGGGAAGGGCTTCACACCGCCACCACCCTGGAAAAACCTCCCAGACGCAAAACACTTGTAGATTGCAGGGGCGGTGATCTTTACACCGTAGCCTGGCCAAGACCCACACAGTTATTTAAACTTCGTGTCCGTCTATTAAGAGAAAGGTCAAATGCAAAGACCAATCAAACGCTCATCTAGGGCCGAAAAGCCTGTTTGTGTGCTGGTGTGTGACTCTCCCCCCCCGCCGGCACCCCCCCCCAGTCCGCACCCACCCCCCACCCCCACCGCACCTCGGTCAGGGTAACTGAAAACATGGCTTTTGCCGCACGGACCTCTCCGAGGCCAGGCCCTCAGCAAACCGCGGCCAGTCCCGAAGAGGCCTAGATGCCTGCAGCTAAACACCCGGGGGCGCCGGCCGCGGGGGAACCAGGCTTCGGGCTCGGGTACCTCCGGAAATCATTCCTATCCGTGGCGAAGCGGTAGACGCCCCGAAGCCAATCTCCCACGTTGTCCGGAATCTCTGGGGCTTCATTCGCGGAGCCGCCAGCGTTCATCCCGACCCCGCTGGAAGCCATAGCAGCACCACCACGCTCCGCAAGGCCTGACAGCGAACGCCGCCCGCGCACGGGGATGACGTCACTTCCGGACTCGTACTTCCGCCGGCCGCCGGCGAACGGAGCGCGCCGCGGCTGGAGCGAGTCCGACACCCTCCGGAGGGGCGGAACCCGGGCTGAGCGTGCACGTGCTCTGCGAGGGGAGGAGCAGGCTCGGGTCTGCGCTTCCAGCGTGCGGTCCCATCTCCCGCTCTCCGGCCTCCGGCTCGCCCGGCCTCTGAGTGACCACTCATTGGCTCAGCAGGATGCGGGGACCCAGTAACCCAGTCTGCGGGGCTGGAGGAGGGGCTAGCTCAGCAGGGGCTGCGTAGTTTTGGGGAGTGGAGCTACCCAAGAAAGCCTCCTCCAAAAGTCACAGCATGCGCGGGCTGAAGAGGAAGCACTCCAGTGTCTAGGGTTTTTACAGGGCGAGGAGTCCCGGCCTCCGCCTTACAGATCATCCCGCCCCTCGACTCCCCCTGCTCCGGGCCGCGCCACTAGCAAATGGGGCCATGCTTCCTGGAGATGCCACTGTCACCAGCTCGGGCGCGTCCCGGCGTCTTGCAGGGCCGGGGAAGGCGCGGACCTAAAGTTCTGAGTCAGAGGAAGAGGAGCAGGTAGGGCAGGGGACATCCTCCTGGGGATCAACGGACGTCTCCAGGGGTCCCTGCTCTCGTCCTTTGGGTGCCTCAGCCTTGTCCCCAGCTCGGCACTCGCGCTCCCGCCTGGATCCAAGCAGCCGCCTCCGGGTGTCCGGACGGGAGCTGGCAGCCGCGGCGAGGACTGCTCCGGGGATGGGCGCAGAGGGTAGCGGAGCGCGGCCCCCTCCTTCAGCTCTGCCGAGCCAGCCTCCCCAACTCCGGCCAGGCCAGACCCGCCTTTCTCCGAGGCCCGCGTCTCACACCCCCAGGCCCTGGCGGGGCGGCCCGCACGAAGCGAGGCCCAGCCTCCCGCCCCGCCCCCGGGGTGCGCAGGCCTCCGCGCGATCCTCCCGGGCTCCTCGCCCCTCCCCGCTCCGCCCACCAGGGGGCGGCACATCCCCGGTCCGGGAGGGAGTCCCGCGCCGCAGCCTCACCCGCGGCGCAGGATGGGCTCGGGAGGCCCTCGGAGCGCTCCGGCCAGGGATGCGTGGTGAGAGCTGCGGGCCCCGAAGCTCGGGTTTGGGGGTGCGGTTGGAGGACGGGGGCGCTGCTGGAGGGACGGGACGGCGTGGGACCGGGGCGAGGGCCCCGGCCCGGGAGAACTCCCTCTGCCCAGCCCCAGCCGCTGCCCACTTCCCCTTCGATCCACACCTTTCCTCCCTTACCGAGGGACGGCCCTCCTCCCAGAGTGGCGGCCAGGCTCCCGCCGGCTTCCCAATAGCGACTCTCAGAGCAGCGGGGACAGCAGGGCCGCCCCCCGGCGGGGCATCACGTCCTCCCCCCCAGGGCCCGGCGCAGTCCTGGCAGCAGAAGCGTTTCTCGTGCCAGCGCCGTCCCTCCGCCTCACCTCAGTGCAGCGCCGGGAGATCAGCTGGGAGAGGGAGTGGGGACCAGCTCATTCATTCATTCATTCATTCACTCATTCATTCATCCAGTAACCACGCCTTAGAGCCAGCTAACGCTAAAGCACGTCCACAGACATTCCCATTTGATCTACTCCGCCACCCTCCGACGCGGGGAGGGCTGATTGGCTCAGCCAGGATCCCCAGCTAGCAGGTGGCACGGCCCGAAGTGGGGGAATGGGACCCAGGGTTCTGCGCTCACATGCCAACTCCAGGGAGTTTCCTGCATGATAAGGCACAGCACTGGGCACCTAGAACACTGAGAGGAACCTCTGTCCAAGAGTCCCTGCGCCGGAGAAACTGTCCACCCCAGAAAATATGGGGGACGCTGCAGTGAGGGAGGATGCAAAGGGTCCCACATGCCCAGAGCTCAAGTGGGAGCAAGGGAAACACCAAGGTCCTAGGCCGCACCTCTTCGCCCCGCTCCACTCCCTGATCCTGGGAGAGGTATTCCCTGCGTCCTGCCAAGCTGGACCCTGAACAGACCTCCCCTCAGCTGTGCCTGGTCACAAGCAGGGCAGCATGGCCTCAGCGGCTCAGCACCAGGACGGCCGCAGTGGAGGTGCCGATCGCGGTGGAATTATTATAGATGCGGTTTATCGGGGCCTGGCCACAGGCCTGGCGAGCCAAGCAAGCCTGGTGCCAGCAGCCCGCTCTCCTGCCCTGGCTGCAAACGCTCCGTATTCCCCTGGCCTCAGGCACTCCCTGCACTGCCAGCGGGGTGCTGGCTGGTCAGAGGCAGCACCACCCTCCTGGCTCTTCCATCCCAACCCCACCTCCACTGCAGGCTCACCAAGAACCCCCAAACTTGGCTCCTCTTGAAGTTTACCATACTGTCAATCCCCAAATCCCTTTCTCACCAGAGTCGCAGAAGCTAGCTCCTTCTGCAGAATCGAGAGGGAGAAGAGTGGAGGAAGGGGAATATGGGGGGGGGGTAATACTACACACCTTTTCACAGGTGCATTCTGCAAGCTTGGGCGGTATCAGGCAAGCCACCCCCTGGCCCAGGGCCACCCTCCTCCGCTGGACACAGAAGAGCCGGAGCGCAGCTCCTCCTCCCCAAGGGCCAGGCAGTATGGCTCCTGCAAAGACAGGTTGAAGTTTGAGTGGAGAAGGCTTAGGTGCTGGTGTGTCAAAGGAAGGTTGTAGAACCTCAGGGAGGTGCCAGTGGGGACCGCCTGGAAGGGCATGGGGATGAAAAGGGAAAGAGGGGCAGGGACAAAAGAGTGCCAGTAAGCCCACCTCAGTCTTACTCTCCCCCTCCCCCAGGAACGGTCATCACTCAGCCCTGACACTAAGCACTTAGCCCTGTCTCCATATACTTAGGTGCTTGCTCCCAGTGAACCATATGTGTAGCCAAATATCACTTCCCATGGTGATTGCCCTAGTTAGTCCATATTCTCCCATCTTGCCTACCCAACTGATTATAAGCCTTTATTTTTTATTTTATTTATTTATTTATTTATTTTATTATAAGCCTTTAGACTGGGCACATATAGGGCCTCAATAAATACTTAACCATACTCCTTACATTTGTACATTCCATTATTTGTTTCAAAAGTCGCTCATGTCCATTTTCTCATTTGCTCTTCAACTAAGCGTTGTGGCAGGCAGAGCAGCCATCATGTGGATCATTGTACCATTATGTAGATGTGAAAACTCAGGCTGAGGCTGGGGGAATGACTTCTCCCAATGAGTGGCATAGCTAGGCCTTACACCCACGTTCCCTGACCTCTGGACCAAGGTTCTCCCACAGAAAAGAGGGAAGCTGGGGAGAGGGATCTCGCATCGCTGTCCTGTGGAGGGAGCTGCTGCAGGAGCTGCTGCAGGCGCGTCCGAGCCCAGGCCAGTTGGGGGCTCGGTTGGTGTCCAGGCCAAGGAGCCCCAGGCTCAGAGCTTCAGGATCCCAAGCAGACACAGCAGATGAGGAGTGGAGCTAGGCTTTCCCTCTTCCCTCCCCTTCTCATTGCCACCTCCTCTCCAGTCTGGAGCAACAGTCAAGCGCGCGCACGCACGCGCGCGCACACACACACACACACACACACACCCCTTTTGGACAGTCAACTTTAAGATCACCAGGACAGCTGATCCACTCCTGCATTTGTGTTCTGATGGATGGAGGTTGGGGAGGCCTCACACCTCAAAACAGCTTCCCTTCATGTGCTTAAAATCACCCCCTTCCTCAGGGCCCAAGCCCCACAGGTCTGCTTGAACAACACAGACCCCCTCGGAGAGGTCATGTATAGTCATGTGAATACATTTAAAGTCAAACCCTCATGTCCTGGGCTTGGGGACTGCAGCGGGGAGGGTTGTAGAAACGGATTCCTGCAAAGAAGAGAGGGCATTTCGCCTTTCTGATGAGCCTGGAGCAGACTGGTCCCTCCTTCATCACCTCCATCGCCTTAACTCCCACCATCCCTCACTGCTTACATACCAGGCCGGCGAGCTTGCTTCCTCCCCAATCCCTGCACAGGCCCTGCCTGCCCAGCTGTGGGCCTGGGCCAGGTGACAGGCCCAGGAAGCCCTTCTCTGCCTCTCCAGCCCAAAGCTGTTCCCCTTTCCCTGAGCTCCGGAAGTACGACCAGTGTCCCAAGATTTAGCACTTGTTTCTCTCTGCCCCACCCCCCCACCCCCGTGTCTCTCCCAGCTTCTCATCTGGTCTAGGAGCTCCTCCAGGACACAGGGAAATCTCGTGTTTCTTCCTCTATCTATAGCAGCCATTCCATCGGACAATTCTAAGCGCATCTCTTCAGCCCTCCTCTGGGCAAGACCTGGGATGGCCACAGCATCTCGGGGTGGGAGGCGATGACTGAAGTAGAAAAGGGATGGGCCCTGCCCACAGGGAGCTCCGAGTCTGGTGGGTAAGGGAGATGGAGAGTCTGGTGGGTAAGGGAGATGGAGAGTCTGGTGGGTAAGGGAGACGAAGCCGGCAGAATGGGGTAGGGCTCTAGGTAGGCAGACACAGCACCACAGGGGGGAAACCAGCGTTAGCTTTCTTGTTTACTCTGCACTATTCTAGCATTTCACACCCTTTACTCCACCCTCACAGCGATTGTATGAAGTAGTCTCTATGATCCCACTTTAAGGCTGAAACAAGCAGGCTCATGACCTTGCCGGCGGCCACAGTGGAAGGCTGAGGGGAGCTCTAGGAAGAGGCTTCCTTTGTGGGCCGAGGTGGATTCTGGCCGGCAGCAGGGCACAGGAGGCCATCACCAAATCCCTGGCCTCTGGAAGAGGCGGTGGGGACAGAGTCTGGCCTCCAACAGTTATACGGTTCCCCAGCCCACAGTCTCCTCTGCACCCCCTCTCAGAGGTCCTGTGCCACCCTTCCCAGCATCCTGGCTCCGCACCCACCTGCTTCCTTCCCGGCCTGCCCCTCAGGCCCGGGCACTCAGGGCCAGGAGCAGCCACCTTCCCTAACAGGGTGCCCCCTGTTCCAGGTAGCAAAGTGCTTAGGGGAGGGGGACCCACAGGAAAAGGGGGTACATCTGGGGCCCCAGGGGGACTTTACCCTCTCTTCCAGGTTAGTTCTAGTTTGTATGAATTGTCCCACGCAGACAATGCTCACAAGTCAGCTCTGGCCCTCACCCTTCAATCCTTCGAGGGCAGCCTAACTCCACCTCCGCTTGGCACGGGACCCCACCTTCCTAACATGCTGATTCCTCTCAAAATCCCCCTCCCCCTGC